AGGAGCTGTAAATAACAGCAAATTTGCATCATTTATGAAAGGGAGGAGTCTGCTGTCACCTTCTACCAGTGGTGTTGCCAATCAGCCCTCTCAACAAATGATATCTCCCTCACTGCATTATATCAACTCATCCATACTATTTAATGATAAAGTAAGAAATATCATAAATACATGATTTTCTAATGCCAGAATCAATAAATAATAATGTTTCATCATATCAATAAATGTGTTGTTGTCAATGTTGAACCAATGTTGTCGTCTGCTTGATTATGTTTTCATACTTTACTATGCCAAATAAACTTGTGTACATTACCTCACCGAAAATAAACAGAATGCTTATTTATAAAAAAAATCGATAAAAATAATGAGACGTTACAAGTTTGCAGACAATAAACCCAATCCACACATCTGAAAATAAAGTGACAAATAAAGTGGTCTGTCATGGACGATTATCAAGTCATGAAAATCAATAATGGCCCAGGATGGACTGATTTGTCACTTCCTTTATTATTAGATTTGTGGGTTAGATGTCTGTTAAAAGTTTAGCAGTATTGGGAGGAGAGATGCCTGTAGCTCCCTCCAAGCCAGCCTTACCTAACCCCAATTTCAATTATACAGAATTTCAGTTACCCAGACACACAAGAGGTACCAATTTATATGGATAAAATTGGTCATGCTGTATATGTACACAATAGAGTACAGTGGTACCTCGCATAACGATCGCCCCAAAAGACGAACATTTTGGGTAACGAACGGCCCGATCGGCATCAAATCGTCCCGTATGACGAACGCTGGTTTGAGTAACGTCAACACCACATGGTGGGGGTCGCGCTGCTTCTTGCACATTCTTAGATGCCTCCGACGATGCACATAAATTATGTTGTTCTTGTTTAAAGATGCTAATGATGCTGGGATATAAAAGGGTGACTGCTGAGATGTTGCAAAGTATTGACGTTTTTGTAGGAAAAAAGAAATGAAATGTCTGATATACAACAAATGTCAAAAAGGTTCGTTCGGTGTTCGGCAGGTAGGCTGCTCCATTATAACAATCTTTCTTTGTTTCAAATGTGTTCCATTTGTTTTGTATTTGTCATTTACGTCTCAATAATGGAGAAGCCTACCTTACATACACTGAATAAACCATTATGACATTTTCCTTTCTTCAAATGTGTTCAATATTTATTTTTCATTTGTCTTATAGCAAAAGGTTCGTTCAGTGGTCGGCAGGTAGGCTGCTCCATGTTTCTTACATACAAAAAACGTAAATAATAAAAAAAAAATGAAGAATTTTGAAAACCAGTACAAATGTCAAAAGGTTCGTTCGATGGTCTACAGTTCGGCTGCTCCATGTTTCTTAAATAAAAAAAAAAAACGAAAAATAGAAGAACTGTTGAAACAATTTGAAAAATGAACAAATGCCATAAAGGTTTGTTCAGTGTTTGTCGGGTAGGCTGCTCCATTATTGAGACGTAAGTGACAAATACAATACAAATGGAACACATTTGAAACAAAGAAAGATTGTCATAATGGAGCAGCCTACCCAACAAACACTGAACGAACCATTTGCTATAACGAATTGTTTACTATGAAAGACTAGGGCTGCTGGCTGGGTTAGTACTGCGTGAGCAACCATTTGTGGCACAAGCACCTCTGACTCTCAAACACCTGTCCCACACGGTGTTGTAAGACTGCGCTCAATCGGTGCAATTCAGACCCTATTGTTTGAAGAACATAAGGGTCATAACATTGGTGAAGCTAGGCGCAATAAGGGCTTAAAACAACGGTTGGATGCCAGTGATACAGCACCTATGAGGATGATACAGCGAGCGTATCCAGGTGTAGCTCTGAGCCCCACCCTTGCCATCTCGAATTTATATAGACGATACATAGATGAATCGTTTTCTGCGTTCACCGATGATGCATCTGATACAAGTAGCATAGATGAACAGTCTTAGCGGCTTCCATGGTGGTGGTGTTCATTGATATTTTCAAAAATACCGGAATCTCTTCCTGACTGATGGACACTCTTTGAGGCTAGCTGAATCTCTTCCTGACTGATGGACACTCTTTGAGGCTAGCTGAATCTCTTCCTGTGATTCCTTACAAAGCGATCTTTTCAAGACTACCTTACAAATTGAGCTTTTCCTTTAATCGTTTCAATACTACCTTATGCTTTACAAGCTTGGCTACATACCACCTACAAGTACTAAAGCCAAGGGTGCACACAAGTGTGTTATTTGCAAGCACACAGAACGATGAAACAGGAAACAAAAATCTATCTGTAGCTGGTGCAAGGAGAGCAAAGTCGCACTGTGTACCATGGACTACTACTTTGACTATTATGCACCTCCAAAGTACTGTGTAATACAGTGTGTTACTGTGTAAATAGTATGTGAAACTGTACATATTGTAATTTTAGTGAATTTTTACCATGTAATATTGTGACAATAAACATTTATTGTGGACACATTACTGACACATGTATCATAGTTCCATGGAAAATTATGAACATTCTACTGTATACATATTGTAAAGGTCACAAATATGCATCATATACGATAAAAGAAACAAATAAAACCGCATTGGAAATGCATAGAAAATATATTTGTGGCAACACGCGGTGCTTGAATGGCCTGCGCGACCGTGTCTGGGAGCTTCACACACAGGCGACCAGGCCCTGATGACGTCACAGCGCACCTTGTCCACGCCCTCACAGCCAAAGTAAGTGGAATTTGGTAGTTATTTTTACATAGACTTGTTCAGGGACAGTAATTTATCATTTTGCAAAGAAAAATGATATTTTGGGGAACATTTGATGTCATGCACACTGGGGGAATTTCACAAACACAGTGCATCACACTGGTTACTTGGGGGGACACTCGTTTTGTATGACGTCCGTTTCACATGACGAACATGGAACGGATTAAATTCGTTATGCGAGGTACCACTGTATATATATTTCAAATCCTACTTCCAAACTGTTTATTGTTTTAGTACTTGATACCCAGTGAGATGAGCATTTTCCACAAGCTGAGTGAAGCTGATACCAACAAAACATTTAAGAAATTATTATTTAGATTATTAACAATCACCAAAGTTTAATAAGCTAGCTTCTTTTTCCCACCCAGCTTAACTTGCACAATTAAGCATCTTACCCAGGATGGAATGCCAAGAGGGGACCCGCACACGACCCGTAACAGGGTCTCAGAGGGGGAGGGGAAATGGAGAAACCGAGTTGCATGAAACAATTCACAACCATCAGTACATATTTTGTTTACATGGGAAACTTAACTCTTCCTTATAAACAAATTACACCTAACAAAAAAATCCACTGAACATTGCTCAAAAATTCCAACACACAAATTAGAAAGCCACCATATAATTCAAGACTTTAGCTTATATCATGCATTTCAGTTATTTACTAGAATATCAAACAAAATTATGAAGACAAATCTACAATAATTTTATTCCTATTTATATTGTGAATATCAAATCCACACTCTCAAACACAACCATCATTTAGCTTTAGGAAATCACTGGACTAATTCATAACTACTTTACAAGTACACTAACAACAAATTTTAAAATCTTATATTTTTATATTTCATACAGAAAATACACAGCAACTCATTACTAGACTTTTCTATGTAAAACCAAAATAATTTGAAATTCTAGCCCTTTAACACTTTCGCGCTTTAGATTAGAGATAACTCGTCGCTGTTTTTTCTTATGATTCCGCATAACAGCCTACTTTTCTCGTCAATCGAAAAAATATTTCTATAAATTCCATTTTTTAACCGAAATGGATGGGGATACTTTTGTTTTGTAGAGAATTTATTTGCGAATTTTTTGGTACCAGAATGAATATTATATCACATAAACTTCTATGAGTAAAAAAAAAAATACACAAAGTATGTTTGGGGGTGTGGCGAGCGTGTGGCAGTGGGTTCCCTTTAGCCGTTGATATATCCAACACGTGGGAAATATCTGTATGTGTTATGTATATGTCTGTGTAGGGAATTTTACTGCGATCACTGTCATACAAATTATAAAATGTTTCAACAAGTATAAACATGACAAACATCAAACGAACGAAAACAATGCGTTCGTTTCTGCCGCGAACACATACTGAGCGACGTGGTTCTATATTTGGCGCTTCTCTTACACATGCTTTGTACAAATGTTATACAGTTCATCTTATAGAAAATTTTATTGCGAACACATTGGTATAAAAAAGAAATACGTACATAGAAAAGTAGGGTCAGGAAACGTATAAACTTTCCAAGCATGATTTCCCCCCTGTGTTTTGGCCAGTGCGCTCGCGGCTAACTACTCTCCACTTCACACACTCTTGCGGGTAGACAATTACCTATATTAAACATTCATATGCATATGTCCGTGTAGAGAATTTTATTGCGATTCCAATGATACCAAAATTAGCGATGTAGGACAACTGTAGGCTTCGCAACCATTAAGAGAGTGGAAACATTTTGTTGCTGTTTGGCGCTCTCAGCGAGTGATCTGCATAGTTTTTTATTTGGTGTTGATACTCCTTATGCTTGGGCGGCATTTTATAGGTATGCTCTTATAGACAATTTCATTGCGAACACAGTGATACCAAATTTAAATACGTGCGCCTTCAATTATTGTCAGGACAGTCAAAAGAGTGTACACTTTTTCGGTCTTACCGCGTAGGCGCGCGAAGTGCCGAAAGCATCTGGGGTATTGTTTTTTTTTGAGCGCCGAGAGCGCGAAAGTGTTAATAATTATATAAAATGATATTAGAATTTGAAAACAAAGACACAGTACAAATATTATTCCCAAAAAACAATTACATACATGCTTCGTGCACAAGTACATCAAAATAACTGAAAAATATAGTGTTCTCTGAACTTCATCTTAACTTCATTTTTTTTTTTATGTTTAACTACAAACCAGATAATTTTCATTATTCATATATACTAGGTTTACAAAGATTACAAATCTCATTTTATTTATACCTTCTGCCTCACCTTCTACGTCCCCTTGTTGACTCTCTGTTTCATACAGCAGAATTTTTTTCATTTTTCTGTAGTTTAGGTTGTCAAACTCACGAACAGCTTTCTTGGTACGAGCAATTAGATCCAAGATAATATGAGGTGACCGATGTCTCAATATAAACTCATGCTGCAGAGAAAAATAAATATAGCTTAGTCATTATTTTCCATAATACAAATAAATAGAAATATTGTTCTCTTTAGGTTAAGGAGACAGTACAGTCACCGCTTGCTTTACCAACCAATATCGAGTTAAAGCCTACTCAATAAACCCAAGATTGATAAATGCCTAATATTTTTAGTCATTTTTATGCACCTAATATACATTTTTCTTTATGCAAATGATATAGCTTACAACAATATTTGTATATGGTACTTTACTTTGCAGTAAAACAATAGCTGCATAGATAATAAAGAAATACACTCCAACAACTTCTGTACTGTAGCCTTCTTACTCTATAAAATGACTACCAGTTTTATGCAGTATGCCCAATTCCAGTATGAACTTGTATCCCAAGCTAGTGATCAATACATGATAAAAACACTGTTGGGTACAGTACTGCTGATGGCTGAACACAGTCTAATCTAATACAGATGATCACATCCAGGCAGGCAAGTTGGAAGTCGGTCAGGTTTGTAGGCAGCAAGTCAGGCAGGTGGTGGGAAAGCAGTCAGGCTTGATGGGTGGGCAGGCAGCTAAGTAGGTAGGTGGACAGGGAGTAAGTAGATAGGTAGGTGGGTCGGCACGCTAAAATGTGGGCTCAGCTAACACTGAAACCACCTACAGATATTATTCCACATTTCAACTCCTTCCCTCATCATTCAGCGAAATGACTACAATATCTCGTATGCCCTACCACTTACATTATCTAACTATATTATCTACTTTCATTTATCCAGATTATATGGGGCACACCCCTCATTGAGCTGGGCATCTGGAAAATGAGGAACTGTCATCAGGAAAGTCCAAAAATTATCATTCAGAATTTCTGTACCACAGCCAACATAATTTGCATTTTCACACACACTATACATGGTTAGGGGAGGATTTTCACATACCAGTACAGTACTTACAGCATTGAAACAATTTAATGAAAAATTAATTAGCATATCAACAGAAGACATGAGTAAACAATATTTAGTTGTCAGTGGTGTTGATTCCTCATCACCATCTTCATCCACCTCACTAGTAATGGAGTGGAGACTCCTTCACCCCTCACACCATATCCTGGGTGATAAGCATCTCTTTGTAGCCATTATACCACATCCTAGTCATTTCTAAATTTTCACCAGCATTTTGAACATTCTACTGATTTCATCTGTAAATTCTTCAAAACTCATACCTTCTTCCTTTACTATAGCTGTGAAGAATTTCTTTCATGAATTCTTCACAGTCGATTCCCCGACTTCACTCCATACTTTGGCCCAGTTATGAATGGCTTCCTTGATCAATAGTTTTTCAAATTTTCAAGAGGTTTATCTGGCCCCTGGTATCCATGCCAAGTTCCTCTTCTTCCTTGAGAGGTCAAACCACCAAAACTTCATTGGGCATCTTAGTGTACAATCTCTAAGCGGCACAGATAATTCCCAGATGGAATCTGGGTTTCCATCAGATGGAAATTCCATCAAATGGAATCTGATGGAATCTGGCTGGAGAGAGGTTGTATTAGAAGGAAGTGCCATACATGTTACTTGCGTCATGTGAGGTTAGAATGTCAATACAGTGGTGGACAGGTGCATTACCAAGCAACAGCAAAGCCCAAACTTTGCGTTTCTTGATCGATGGTCATGAACTTCCTTGCAAAACACATCATGAAACCAAGAAAGAAAGCTCTCCTGTGTAAACCATGTGTTCTTTGAGCTATAATACTTCACAGGCAGATTGTTCAAGCAATGTTTTAAGGCACTTGGCTTCTTGGACCTGCTAACAATTTCACACATGATTCTGTGTGCGCCATTGGCATTCTCACGCACCATTGCCGACAACCTGTCCTTCCATTCACCTGGGCTGAAGGAGTCTCAAACCGTGGACCTCACGTGTGAGAGGCCGAAGCTCTATCGACTGGGAAATGAGTAATCTTAATAAGGAAGAGCTTATTTAACCTGTCCTTATTCACTTAATGCCCCAGCATACTTCCATCATTCTTCACAGCAAGAGTTTTTCAAACTCCTCCAATGCAGACCTGTTTCATCCCCATTATAGATTTGATTCTGATGTAGAAGAGCCCTGCCTTCCCCACACTTGTTCCGTCCACAGCCACTCTAGGAAAACACTGGTACATTCCTAAACCTACAGTTACTCAAAAAAAAAAAAAAAAAGCATTGGCCAGCCAAGGGTAAAGTTGTGCCACAATAACAGTTGGCTATTTACCAGGCAGTGAGCTCTGTAAATTCAATAGCTTCTGTATTCTAGCTTTAAAAGTCAACTGTTCGTTAAATATGGATCTAAATACCAGTTTCAAATCTGGCCACTAAACCAGTGAAATGTTAAACCAGTTTCTTAAAGCAAGTAGATACTGTATGTCTAGATGAGGCTGCCTGGAAGCTCCTCAAGGAAAGTTCCCAGGAGAAAGTAATAGATATCCCCCCAAAAAATAACATTAACAAAACATTAAGCAAAAACTTACAGACAGGAGCCTGGCCGAGGTAGGTCTATCAGGTGGAGATTTCTGAAGGCATGACTCAACAAAGTGTTGGAAATCTTTTGACCACTCTGGAGCAGACATTTTAGGGGCATCATTTTGGGCAATGTGGTACAAGGCACTCATGGCATTCATGTTGAAGTAGGGCGGTTTGCGCTCAGCCAGTTCTATACATGTGATGCCTAGGGACCATACATCCACCTGCAAGCAATATTATTTTTAGAAACTTCACCACTGTTTAAACTTATACATGTAGGCCTGGTCAGAGACCGGGCCACGAAGACGTTGATCCTTGCAATCATCGACAAGTAATCAAAAGGTTTTGTATGTTCTTATACTACAATTAATGCAAAAAACCCAAACAATTTTCTAAATAAAATTGATTTAGAGAGCTCAGTGATAATAAATTAATTTTTAAATTCACTAATGTTCATATTTCAAGTTTTAGGTGTCATACTGAATTATAATTGTAATACCGGACAAAAGTAACTTGCTCGTCAATTTACAAAAATAAATCCAACTCTTCTCAGTTTATATACCTTAAACACAAACAATATAATGAAATAGGATTAAATGCTGAACCAAAATACTGAAACTCTGTCATGCAACTATATGATCATCATCACTGCATTATTACCATTTCCAGAGGATTTACCACAAGGTTTGTACCAGAAATAAGACATGACAGTTTAGAATCAGGCTAAGCAAACAATCTGAGATCACTCAAACATAATAACAGATATGACCAAAATAAAGATAATAAGAGTACTAGACAAAGTGGACAATAACATGGACAGTATTTTATTTCAAATGATAGTAAACAAAGAGATGAAGTGTTATAGACAATCAATAACCGAGACGCAGCACCACAGGAGTTTACCTCACTCTCTGCAGGCACGCACAAAAAGCATCATCTCGTTAAATTATCCCCATCTCCAATATCTCAATACAAAGTACCATTTCAACTACTAGAACATCAGTTACACTACTTGAGTACTATCTTTACTCCATATGCACCATTTCCTCAACATCAAGGAACATCAAGTGATGTAAATTGCCCAGCTAATGAGAGGGTTAGAACAAGCACACAGGAGATTCAGGATGAACCCTACAGATACAGCAGGCCACGACCACACACATTAAGAAAAAACAAGTGACGTGTATCAGACACACGAATTCGATCCCATGCCAAGTCTCAATAAATTATTTTCTTTGAAGGTGGTGGAGGCTGTTATGACCTGTGTGGTCTAATTGATAAAAAACAATTAACTTGTTGCATAAAAGTACAAGCGTAAGAACCTGCGGGTGTTGGTCGAGTTGATCCGGTGGTGGCGGAGCTGCCAACTCCACGATTAATTGCATAAATATAAACCATAATCTATGCAGGAGTTGTCAATATCAAGTCCATCACACTCCTGGAACAATTCCTGATGAATTTCCTCCTCAGTCAAAGCTTGCGTTGCACGCTGCGCTGAGCGGGGTCGCCTGCTGGTACGTGATGCACTTGCCATGGTCTCTGTCAGGTAACTGAGGCTTCCAGACAATGGTGGTCTACAGTGGATTTTTTTTCAAAGATGGCATCTGTTTACAATCGGAGGTTGGCTGGAATATAGCTGTCCCTATCCCTCGCAGGGCATTTAAAATTGTGCGCTAGACCCTCAATCGCATATGTACGATGTGCACCATCCCGTGACAATTACTCCCTACATACATGTATGTATTGCCCCATTTAAGGGTTAATGTGCTCAAATGTGCCCATTAAGTAAACCTGCAGTATGGTAGTGAGCTCTCACCACTCAAGCGTGCAGGTACGATAGAATGCATGCCACGCCCCCCACGAAAACAAAGGGCAATCTGCCAGGCATGAAGACACCGGGACCTCATAACGCACACAATATGGGGAAGAAGACCCGAACTTAATGGAAACCGGGTCGATCACCGAGGCAAAATCCGGGTCTCGCAGGAGGTAGGCAATGAGGGCCTCCCAAACCTCTGCAGGGGAAATCTGAGAGATAGAAAACCTCCGGAAAGACGAAACCGCGGAACCCAAGGGAACCAGGAAGAGCCAAACCCATATCAAACTCGTACAAGGAAGGGGGATACGAAAACTCCAAACCTTCCAACAGCAGTCCCTGCCTCAAAGAGACCAAAGCCCAGGCAGGATTGAAAGGGGGCTCAGGCCGCTGCCACCCCACCCCCCCTACCTTGGTTAAAGCAACCAACGCCCCCAAGTCCAGGTCCCTAAAACCAAAACGGGGCAGCCCCAGGGAATTCGAGTGGGCAACCAACCTTGTGCATTGCAGCAACCTAAACCTAGCATGCAATGTACATGCTGCTTGACCCCAAACCTCAGCTAAAGCAGAATAGGTAAATTGAAGCAAGTGCAGAGAACAAGTTTTGCAAGACTCCGGGTTGAAGGTATTGTCGACACAACAAGCAGCATGATGGAGGCAGAACAGGTGATCATCACCCTAAGACAGGGACAGCGAACAACCCTCAAACTCGCACAAGGCGAGATGGGACTTGGAGGACACATCCATCTGTCAACCAAGCCCCAACGGGGGGTTTCCAGGGCCTGTAGGGGGATGTATCCCTACGGGAAGCCCAGGCACTGGAGCTGCCAAAGCCAGTTGTAACCCTGTATGTTATCTGGGCAAATTGGCCCTTGTGAGGCGAGTAACCTCGGAGGCCCAGAGGAGTACTGCCTACTGAACCTAGATATCACCTAATAGGATCCTCAGCAACCTCCCAACAGGCAATAAAGAAACTAAAAGGAAGAAAGAGAACGCCAAGGAAGCAACCCAGGGAACCAGAAAGATGCTTAGCCACTGCGATTACCTGCGATGGGGTTCTGGGAGTTCTTCTACGCCCCAAGCCTGGCCTGAGGCCAGGCTTGACTTTTGAGAGCTTGGTCCACCAGGCTGTGGCTTGGAGCGACCCGCAGGCCCACATACCCAACACAGCCCGGTTGGTCCAACACGTCTTTTAGAAAACAATCGAGTTTTCTCTTGAAGATGTCCACGGTTGTTCCCATAACATTTCTAATACTTGCTGGGAGGATGTTGAACAACTGTGGACTTCTGATGTTTATACAGTGTTTTCTGATTGTGCGTATGACACCCCTGCTCTTCAATGGTTCTATTCTGCATTTTCTTCCATATCGTTCACTCCAGTACATTGTTATTTTACTGTGTAAATTTGGTACCTGGCCCACCAGTATTTTCCACGTGTATATTATTTGATATCTCTCTCGTCTCCTTTCTAGTGAGTACATTTGGAGAGCTTCGAGATGATCCCAACAATTTAGGTGCTTTATCGCATCTATGTTGCCTTGTATATGTTCTCTGTATTCCCTCTATTTCAGCAATCTGTCCTGTTCTCCTGTTCTGAAGGGGAAAGTGAGTACCGAGCAGTACTGTACTCAAGATGGGACAGCACAAGTGATTTGAAGAGTACAACCATTGTGATGGGATCCCTGGATTTGAAAGTTCTCGTAATCCATCCTATCACTTTTCTGGCTGACGCAATATTTGCTTGGTTATGCTCCCTAAACGTTAGGTCATCAGACATCATTATTCCCAAATCCTTGACATGCTGCTTTCCTATTATAGGCAGATTTGATTGTGTTTTGTACCTTGAATAATGTTTAAGGTTCTCATTTTTACCGTACCTGAGTACCTGGAATTTATTACTGTTAAACATCATGTTATTTTCTGCTGCCCAGTTAAAAACTTTATTAATATCTGCTTGTAGTTTTTCAATGTCTTCAGCAGAGGTAATTTTCATGCTGATTTTTGTGTCATCTGCAAAGGATGACACAAAGCTGGTAATAAGGAAAAGCAGAGGTGCAAGGACTGTACCCTGAGATATAAAGCTTTTTACTGTGCTTAGACTCGATTGTATTTGATTGACTGTTACTCTCTGTGTTCTGTTCAACAGGAAATCGAGTATCCACAGTCTTACTTTACCAGTTATTCCCATTGACCTCATTTTGTGTGCTATCACTCAATGGTCACATCTGTCAAATGCCTTTGCAAAGTCTGTGTATACAACAACTGCATTTTGCTTTTCTTCTAAAGCTTCTGTGATTTTGTCATAGTAGTTGAGTAACTGTGACAGACAGGATCTTTCCACTCTAAATCCGTGTTGTCCTGGGTTGTGTAGCTCATTATTTCCCATAAAACTAGAAATTTGATTCCTAATCACTCTTTCAAAAACTTTTATTGTGTGTGATGTTAGTGCAACTGGTCTATATTTTGCCAAAGCTTTACTACTCCCCTTGTGCAGAGGGGCTATATCTGCAGATTTAAGTGCTGGTGGTATCTCCCCTGTACCCAGGCTCTTTCTCCATATTATGCAGAGCACTTGCACTACTGGTACTTTACATTTATATATGAATATTGAATTCCACGAGTCAGGCCCAGGGGGTGCGTGCATGGGCATATTGTCAATTTCTCTTTCAAAGTCTTCCGAGTTTGTATTAATATCTGTTATATTATCTGCAGCTTTGATGTCATTCATAAAGAAGCTGTCTGGATCTTCAACTTTCATGCTGTTTATTGCTGTGCTAAACATAGCCACATACTGGCTTCTTAGAATTTCACTAATTTCTTTGTTATCCTCTGTGTATGTACCTTCGGTTGTAATTAAAGGTCCAATACTGGTGGAGGTTTTTGATTTTGATTTTGCATATGTGAAAAAATATTTTGGATTTTTCTTTATCTCTTGTATAGTTTTCTGTTCCAATTCTATTTCCTCAGACTCGTATGATCGCCTCAACGTTTGCGCTATTTCTTTGATTATGCTTCAGCTGTCAGTTGAGCTATTCCTTGTGTGGGAGATTTGTCGCTTACAACCATCTCCCGTTGAATGTTTGCAAGGTCTATATATATTTTTTCCCAGTTGATCCCCTTATTGTTGAAATTCAATTGATTGAATATACCTTTTCACTTGTTGGGTCTCTTGGGCCTATTTTCGTTATTAATGTTAGTTTGCACTTCAATGAGCTTATGGTCTGAGTATGTAGTATCTGAGATGGTAATGTCTCTAATAGTTCATCATTGTTTGTGAATAACAAGTCTAGTGTGTTTTCATTCCTAGTTGGTTCTGTAATCTGCTGATTGAGCAAGAATTTGTCGCTCAAAAGTTCTCTGACCTGTGGTTGATTATTTCCAGGGTGGTTCCCTGCTATGATATTTTTGTCTGCCATTCTCCATCTTAGACTTGGTAAATTGTAATCTCCAAGGAAGGTAATATCTGGCACTGGGTTTGCTAGGTTATCAAGGATGTTCTCTATTTTGTGCATCTGCTCTGTGAATTCATCAACCATTGTATCTGGCAGTTTATATATTAGGATAATAATTAGGTTTATTTTTTCTACCTTCATTCCAAGTACATTTACTACCTCATTGGTTTAGTAGCTCTGTGCATACCAGGTCCTCTTTAATATACAGCCCTACTCCATTTGACCTAGTTTCTCTATCACATCTATATAAATTATAATTTGGAATTCAGATTTCACTATCCATGTAATCTTTTGTACGAGTTTCCGTGAATGTCCCAAATATTGAGTTTGACTAATGGGAGGCCATTTATGAACTTGACTATTTCTTCCATGGAAGGAAACCCCAAACCCCAAGGGTGTACTAACAGGGCACTTAGGGAAGGAAGCCCTAAGCACATGCAGTCTTTGGTACCAACTCCTGGCTACCGCACAAACACACAGCAGGAACACTGACTGGATGAAAAGCCTGTCAGGCACCTGAGACCAGGGTACATATCCACCCTATTTAGCTTCACTCGACAAACTAATGGTCTGGCTGGACCTTCCCTCCCCCCCCCCCCCATCCTCTCGGGTTTGGGGGAGAGTGAACGAGTGGTGTGTGGTGTGATGACGTACGTGTTACTTGTTTTCTTTTTCGTTTTGGGGAGTTTCTAGCCTTTGTTTGGTCTCCAGATGCAATTTTCATACCAGTTGAGGTCTGTTTTGGTGGCGTCTACCTTTCTGGGTGTCTAACCCCAGTCGATGGTAGACATGAAAACTGTTATTGTCTGCTTCATAGTGTTAGTTTTATTGTCCTAGTTTCCTATGACATTGCTCCCTGCACCTCTCTGAGGGAACCATATTCTGGCTAGTGGGCTCCGGTAGGCATGACAACTCCATATGACTGAAGCCCTGTACTAATATTAGCTAATATCAGTCCAATAGCTCCAGGGAGCCGACGGAGCTCCCCACAGAAAATACCAACTCTCTTTAATAATGTCTGCTCCAGTTTTGTTTTTGAAAATGTAACCATAACCAGTCATTTGTTTCTTATGACATCACTTGGCTTGAGTGTTCTTTAACCCTTAAACTGTTCAGCATAAGGGGCCAGAAAGTGAAAAATATTTGAATTATGTAAAAATTACTTAAAAATGTTAAACAAATCTCTAACTTACTGGCTTCAGCGTCGTGAAACTTTCATCAAAATATTTTCAGACAACTGATTTTAGATGAATTTTTTAAAAGGAACAACATTTTGATGATAAGGAGAGCAGCTCCTATTAACTGGAACTGATGGATAAGGCAGTAATAAAGACATGCAAGCACCTGTCCGACGCACAAAGAAGAAGAATAGCAGTAAGAAGTGCCCACAAAGTGGATATGCAGCTGGTGCCTTTATAGCATTGATGAGTAATACATAATAACACAAATAATAATGAGTTATTATGCCATGTTTTGTTATATCAAATACATTGCCCAATGTTAATATCTGTTACTTTCATCACTGTCCCCCCCCCCAGAAAAATATATATATATTTTTTTTAAGATTTTAGTTTTTTCTCCTTTGTTTATTATCTGATTTTGTTGTAACCTTCACATCCTGGAGAATGCATACCCGTCCCAAACTATGTGAAGATAAAATGAAATTGATCAACAAATAAGTCAGTCACAACTCGCAGAACTTGGGGCTTTGAATTTTGTTTGGCTGATTTTTTCAGATTTCAAACTATTTTCTTTGTCTCTTTAGGTTGTTTTACTGATTAGGGACCAGTTTAGGGTTTTTCACTTATATAAAGTATACCCTAAATATATCCCCTAAATCATTATAATTATCCCTATATTTTGTTTTTTTTGGGAGTTATTTTTTCTTGATTTAACTTCAACACATGTTGACCTACAACTTTCACATATTCGAGTACGAATGCCAAACAATGTTTATTAAAACATACAAGTAAATTCATGAATTAGAATGGCCTTATTCATTGTCGATAACTTCAACTTCAATTATATCTATAACTAGAATTTCAACTTACTTCAGTATCCAAAAATCTAGTTTCTGACCAATTCTCACCATTTTTACATAGTGTAATTGCCTAAGTGTAGTTACAGGATGAGAGCTAAGCTCATGGTGTCCCATCTTCCCAGCTCTCTTTGTCATATAACACTTTGAAACTACTGACTGTCTTGGCCTCCACCACCTCACTAACTTGTTCCAACCGTCTACCATTCTGTTTGTGAAAGTGAATTTTCTTATATTTCTTCGGTATCTGTGTTTAGCTAGTTTAAATCTATAACCTCTTGTTCTTGAAGTTCCAGGTCTCAGGAAATTTTCCCAATCGATTTTATCGATTCCTGTTACTATTTTGTACGTAGTGATCATATCACCTCTTTATCTTGTCTTCTAGTTTTGGCATATTTAATGCCTCTAATCTCTCCTCGTAGCTCTTGCCCTTCAGTTCTGGGAGCCACTTAGTAGCATCTCTTTGCACCTTTTCCAGTTTGTTGATGTGCTTCTTAAGATATGGGCACCACACAACCGCTACATATTCTAGCTTTGGCCTAACAAAAGTTGTGAACAATTTCTTTAGTATATCGCCATCCATGTATTTAAAAGCAATTCTGAAGTTAGAAAGCGTGGCATAGGCTCCTCGCACAACGTTCTTTATGTGGTCCTCAGGTGACAGTTTTCTATCTAGAACCACCCCCTAGATCTTTCTTTATCAGAATTCTTTAAAAGATTTCTCACATAATATGTGAGGTTGTGTGAGGTCTATGTTCTATTCCACATTCCATAAAATGGCATTTATTAACTTTAAATTCCATTTGCCAAGTGATGCTCCATATACTTATTTTGTCCAGGTCTTCTTGAAGGGCATGGCAATCATCTAAGTTTCTTATGTAGACAATAAACATCACTGGTGCAAGAACTGAACCCTGTGGTACTCCACTTGTGACACTTCTCCAGTCCAATACATTGCCTCTGATTACTGCCCTCATTTTTCTATCAGTCAGAAAATTTTTCATCTATGTTAGAAGCTTACCTGTCACCCCCCTCCAATATTTTCCAGTTTCCAGAACAACCTCTTATGTGGAACTCTGTCGAAAGCCTTTTTTAGGTCCAGATAGATGCAGTCAACCATCCATCTTTTTCCTGTAAAATCTCTGTGGCTCGATCATAGAAACTGAGTAAATTCGATACACAGGATCTTCCAGATCGAAAACCATACTGTCTATCTGTGATATTATATCATTTCTCTCTAGGTGTTCTACCCATTTAGTTTTTATTAGTTTTTCCAATACTTTCACTATTACACTTGTCAATGATACAGGTCTATAATTGAGGGGGTCTTCCCTGTTGCCACTTTTGTAGATTGGAACTATGTTGGCCTGTTGCCACTTTTGTAGATTGGAACTATGTTGGCCTGTTGCCACTTTTGTAGATTGGAACTATGTTGGCCTGTTTCCACACATCTTCTACGACTTCTGTACACAGGGATGCCTGAAAGATCAGGTGAATTGGAATGCAGATTTATTTTATTATGAAAATTTTATATTACGAAAAAAAAGAATTCTGTGTAGTGCACAGATGTGTGTAAAGCTGTCTATTCTACAATCCACATAGAACTGATTTTTCATAAACCCTAAACGTTTGGAATTATAAATTTTTGTTGTCTAAATTTGTGCATATTTCAAATGCCATATTGACGATTTTTTTTACAGTAAACTATACTGAAAACCTTTATTCTAAATATATGAAAAATGAAGATCATATGCTATTCTGAGAGCATAATAACACCAAATGAACAATTGGTGATATTTTACATTTTTGCAGCCAATTTCAAAACCCGAAGTTTTCAATATTCAATTTTATAATTATTTTTATTTTTTTGTTTTTTCAAGTTACGTTGGTATCATTTAGACAAAGTTGGGGCATTTGCCTAGTAGATTATGCACAAAACCTTTGAAACCATTTCAGCAAATTTTAAAACCGAGCTTACTGTCCGACTTCATATGACGTTTTGTGCAGGTTAAGGGTTAACCTGCTCTTTATACAATGGTGGTGACTAAGTAATGCTGTGATATGTAGTATGAAAGATACCACAAACAAAACAGACGTTAATTTTTTTTCTTATTTGCCTTCTCATTTCGTCCATCTTAGCACTAACTGCACACTCTTAATTAGGTCGATATCCTGGTGCAAAATAAAAAATCAATTAATTAAAAACAAAAAAATTTATATGATAAAACATTGCTTTTTGATGGCAGGGGAAAAAATTTTAATACTGTACGGTAATATTAGTTTGGTCGTAGTGAGGTAAAGAAATGTTGATGACTTATTCTGAGAAATAATTTTCAAGTTAATTAATTGTAACAAATGTCTCCGCATCACTAATATACTTCAGGTCCATAAAAATCCTTGAAAATCTGCAAGGCATCAATGGCACCCAACATGGTGCCATAGATTTACTAATGCCTCAGGAAGGTAACTAACGGGCTCCAAGATTTTTGTCCAATATGGCAAATAACTGCCAAAGGTCTCTACATATTAAAGTATGAAGCAGAAATGTATTAATTTTTAAGTTATCGTCTAATAAAATGTCAAATAAACTATGTTATACCCCAATACAGATACAATATAATACTTTACATGAAAAATATATATTAATCATATGTTTGCTAATAAACAGTAGATATGGCTTAATTGTTTGGATATACACCAACAACTTGGGCCTTAAGATCACACTCAACCTGAACATAAGAACCCATAGAAACTGGTTGTGGCCTCAAATACTGCACACACATTATATATCTGGAAAACAAAAATACAAATTCTAGGAAGCTTGGATAACTTACAAAAATTATTTTGTAATAACTAATAGAAATCCTTACCTTTCCATCATACTGTCCTTCATCCATAGCCAAAATGACCTCAGGAGCCATCCAGTATGGTGTTCCAACAAAACTATTGGCAGGGGATGCAATACTTGCACTACCAAAATCAGCTGCAGACAAAACAAAACAATTAATATAAATTTGCTAAAAATCAGGAAGAAGGACAATATGGGCAGCCTTAAGACCAACTCCTAGCAAGCAGTCTCAAAATCAAGATACAGTATTAGAAAAGGTTTTGATCAGCATACTAAAGACATTATTAATTTGTAATTCCTGTACTGCATTTAAATGGCTTTCCAGGGTGGACTAAATTTTGAAATGTCTATTCAATATAAAGCTGAATGTATTTTCTTATAAAAGTTTACATCCTTCTAATGCAAGTCCTTTCTCTCATTTCCATTATATCCGTAAATTATTATTACAATTGATAACCACTTCCCCATTCATGTAGTGGTAAGCAATTTTCCAAATGAAAGGAGAGCAATATGGTTTCTCAATGTTGTGGAGAGAAAGTTTGTTAGGATTATTGAGGTCCCCTTAGGCCAGTGATTCTCAACCTTTGATGGTAGGAAATATTTGGATTTACATTTCCAAATATTTGGAAATGTATAGTTCCCTTGAAATATTTTGTAAAATCTTTGGGAACCACTACTTGGCTAACACGCATTCAGTTCCATAAAGGTAAATTGCAATATTGATGTGTAAGGTAGAAGGGTAAATAAATAATTAGCTCATACTTTTGAATAAAATATTAAAGAGTATTTGTTGCCTATTTCTATTTGCTAATATATGTTAATACAAAAATGACAAACATTTTTACTTTCCATCTGGCTTACTGGATACAAACAATCAATATATACTTTGCAATGATCTTATGTTTAAATAAATTTCTGGGAAGCCACATGATGGCTCCCTGTAGCTATCTCACTGAGAATGCTTCATTCTACTTGTCACATCAGTTGCACTAGTTCGTTTGGCTTATAGGAGAACAATGCCAGAACCTGGCCTCCCTCACACAAGGCAGAGAGCAAATGACATTCTGCCATTTCACTGGAAGAGTATCCAGAAAGTCAGTGAAGTTTTATAGGCAACTGCTGGGTTCAAAAGACAAAGACACAAAACTGGCAAACAAAAATTATTTGCCTTCTTCAGCCTTGATCCTCTAACAGTTCCACAGCAATCTGGTTTTGGACTAACCTTGGGAGACTAGGCAGTTGGTCAAGCAGCAGTGCTGGTGCCTGAATTTTGTCTGTAAAGTTTGTATTAGGGCTCTGTACTGATTCCTCTGTTCCTCCTTCCGTTTTATCAATGCCATGACTGTCGGGTTCAGACACCAGCTGCCCTTTGCCAGATTCCTCTTTGGGCTTTTTGGGGTTCAGTTACCTTGGCACCTTCCAGTACTGTCAATGTTTTTATGGATGCATCACCTCTGGGTAAGGATTTTATAACCAGCGCTCACCAGGTTTCATAGAGTTAATGGTTAGGTCCGTTTCATCCGTCACACAAGTTCACAGTTGTGTGGCAAGCATTACGGAGGATTCAGCTCACTCTGTGATCCAGCTCCACTCTGACTGATCCCCCAGTGGTTCATTGCCAAAACCATGGGGAATCTGTGATCCTATCCCCTGTGGTGCTGGACTCTACAGGTGACTCATCGTCTGGGTTCTCGAGGTTTAGCTCTATGTACTTCACATGCAGGGCATTTCCAATGTTCTTGTGGACAGTTTATCTCATTTCCATTCCATTTCCACAGACTGGAAAAGGATGGTTCATCAACAACAGGACCTTCCAGGGGCTCTGAGAGACATTGGTTGCCCCGAGGTTGACCTTTTTACTTTGGTGTGGAACTGATGCCTTCCAGGTATTTAATGCCAGGTATTTAATGTCCCTGGTCCTCTTCAACCCTGGGTCGTGTTTCCCCAGGCATCGGTCTCTACTTTGACTTAATGTGTGCTGCCTCTCCACCTCTTAGATATGTCACTATTTTTCTGTGCTTATTTAGGTACAGGGAGCCACCATGGCTTCAAGAAAGTAAGTAAGTAATTATCAAAAGAAGGCACCAAACCGGGAAGGCTATGTAGCACCATCAAATACGCAAAATAATCAGAGGGCGCTAAATATCACCAAGGATGCCAATACGAGAACAAAAACGCATAAGGCGAACGATATCAAAAGTATCCGAGTCACCAAGAATTCTATCGAGGGACAGGTGACCGCGAGGGGCGGTCGGAAAGCAAGACATACGCTCGTCCTGGAAGTCAGGACATTCAAGAAGGACATGCACGACCGTAAGAGGGACAATGCAACTAGGACAATAAGGAGCAGGGCGGCGCTCCATCAAGTGACCATGGGTTAAGCGAGTATGGCCAATACGCAACCTCGCCAGAGCTGTTTCCCACCGCCGGTTACGGTGGAAGGAGGACTGCCACGAGGAAACACAACATTTAAGAGTACGTAGCTTGTTACCAGTAACAGACAACCAAGAAGCCTGCCAACGGGTAAGGACTGAGGAATGGATAACCGGGTAAAAGTCGGAATACGGAATGCCCTTACGAGAGATGGGACAAGAGCGGACAGCTTCCTTGGCGGCAGCATCCGCACGCTCATTTAAAGACACACCAATATGGCTGGGAACCCAACAAAACTCAACCGACTTAAATTTACTATGAACGAGAAACAGCCAATGCTGGATCTCGACAACCACTGGATGAACTGGATTAAAGGACCCGAGAGCCATGAGGGCACTACGAGAGTCAACAACAACTACAAAGGAAGACTGACAACGAGAAAGTAGGAGACGAAGAGCATAGAGAATAGCATAAAGTTCCGCTGTAAAGATGCTAGTCTCCGGAGGCAAGCGACGCATATAAGTGCGATCAGGAAAAACAACAGAGTAGCCAACACCGTCCGCTGACTTAGACCCATCGGTGAAGACAGAAACGGAGCGGGAGTGAGAAGAAAAGTGCTCGAGGAAAAGGCGTTTTAGAACCGTAGGAGGGGTAAAAGCTTTAGTGATACGGGTCAAGGAAGTACAAAACCGCGGAAGAGGGACCCTCCACGGGGGCAAAGAAGGAACAACACGAGGAGAAACATCAGAAATACGAACGGAAAGAGAATCCTGCAGGCGAGATAACCGGACAGAAAGAGGGAGGTGGTGAAGAGGAACAGGAACCGCAGGAGGGGTAAAAGTTAAAGCACGACAGAGGCGAGAGGAAGGATGTTGCAAGGACCGCGCAAGATAGCGAAGACAGTAGCGATCACGGCGGTCCTGGAGAGACAGGAAGCCAGTGTCAACATACAAGCTAAGGACGGGAGTCGAACGAAAGGCACCAGAACTGAGGCGCAACCCAGTATGGTGCAAAGCATCAAGACGGCGAAGAGTAGAAGGAGAAGCAGACGAGTAAGCAGGGCAACCATAATCGAGCTTAGACAGGACGAGAGAAGAATGTAAAGCAAGGAGAGTGCGCCTATCTGCCCCCCAAGAAGTATGGGACAAGACCCGAAGGAGGGTAAGGGCCTTAGAGCACTCAACACGGAGGTAAGAGATATGGGGAGACCAAGACAAACGAGTGTCAAGGAATAACCCCAAAAGCTTCGCGGAATCTTTGTAGACAAGGGGATGACCATAAAGAGACAAAGAGGGACGAAGAACAACCCGTTTCCGCGTAAATGTCATGGCACAAGTCTTAGAAGTAGAGAACTTGAAGCCATGATCAGTGGCCCAAGACGACACGGCATCAATTGCAAGTTGAAGCCGGCGTTGAAGGAGAGGCGAATCATCACCCTGACAACAAAGGGTAAGATCATCGACATAGAGAGCGGAGAAGACACCAGAAGGAAGAGAGGAAAGAAGACCATTGAGGGCAACCAGAAAAAGAGTAGTGCTCAGAACACTACCCTGGGGCACACCTTCGTATTGCTGAAAAGAGGGAGAGAGAGCGGTACCAAGGCGCACCCGAAAGGAACGACGAGAGAGGAAGCTGCGGAGAAAGAGAGGGAGATGACCACGAAGGCCAAAAGAATGAAGTTGAGATAGGATATGATAACGCCAAGTGGTGTCATAAGCCTTTTCCAGGTCAAAAAGGACGGCAACAACGGAGGTCTTCGCAGCAAAAGCAGTACGAATATAGACCTCCAAGTTCACCAGGACATCTGTCGTGCTGCGGCACTTGCGGAAACCAAATTGAGAAGGGGAGAGGAGGTGATGGTGTTCCAGGAACCACATCAGACGAACGTTAACCATACGTTCAAAAAGTTTGCAGACACAACTTGTGAGAGCAATAGGGCGAAAGTCCTTAGGGGAAGTACCCAGAGACCCCGGTTTGCGAACAGGGAGGACAACGGCATCGAGCCAGTCCTCAGGGACTGACGACGACTCCCAGATCCGATTATACAGACTCAGTAAATACTGAGACGTGCTCGGAGGGAGATGGCGAAGCATCTCATAATGAATACCATCGGAGCCCGCCGCCGTAGAACCGCAGAGGGCCAGAGCAGAACGAAGTTCAGAGAGAGAGAAGGGATCATTATAGGGAAGCTGAAGATGAGTGCAGAAATCTAAAGGACGAGACTCAAGGACAGGTTTACGAAGAAGGAAAGATTGGGGAAGATGAAGACCAGAGCTAACAGAAGAAAAGTGGGAACCCAGTTCGGAAGCGACCTGCAACGGGTCCGCCACAAGAGTATCATGGAGGTGAAGGACCGGTGAAACATCGGGAACGAACCTACCCGCTATCTTGCGGATACGCTTCCAGATCTGGGCCAGAGGGGTTTCGGACGTAATTGTTGAGACATAAGATGCCCAACATTCACGTTTAGCCGTACGGATGGCCCTACGGGCCACCGCACTCGCTTTCCGAAAGAAAAGAAAAGAATCAGTCGTCTGCCTACGGCGGTGCCTCTTCCAGGCTGCACGCTTACAGCGGACAGCCCGAGCACAGTCCGCATTCCACCAGGGCACGCACTTCCGTGGACCCCGAGAGGAAGAGCGAGGAATAGAGCGGAGGGCAGCGTTGAAGACAGTGTCATGAAAAAGGAGGAGAGCGCGAGAGAGAGGCAGAAGGGAGAGGTCAGAGAGAGCAGCACTGAGGGTAAATAGGGTCCAGTCTGC